AAAAATATATTTAAATTCAAAGTTGGTAATTTGGTCATCTACCTATAATGGTAGCCACTATTTGGCATTTATACCTAAGTAAAAATTGAATTAATTATTAGCTCCAAGTTTCTAAAAGCTGAAGATTTATTTGTGATATTCAAAGTCTTTTTTTTTTTAATTTTGGTCTCTTTGATGACCCTTAAATATAATGAAATGCATTATTTATTTTGTAACTTTACTGTGCTTGTAGCACATTATTTTTCAAAAGAAATTTTTGAGGCACAGTTTATGTGTAGTAAACAGCACCCACTTAAAGTGTATAATTTAGCAAATTTGAACACATATCTACACCTATGAAACCATTTCTACAATTAATATATAGAACATTTCTGTTGCTCCCTAAAGTTTCTATTTTTTTTTTTTACTCAGTCTACTACTTCTAATCCTATACCACTGATTTCTTATCACTGTAGGTTTAGCTTCATTTTTTTTTTTTAAGATTTATTTATTCATTCATATGGAACTGGGGTACAGGCCAGAGATGCGGAGGGTGAGAGGATTCACCAGAGACAGAGAGGGGAGCATACAGACAGATAGAAGAAGTACACTGCTGAGGGGAGCAGCGGGCGGGTCAGGAGAGGTCTGCCTCGCCATGTGGATCTCCTCCGGGGCAGGTGGGGATCGAACTCATGCTGAAGTGGCTCTAGTTTCTCAGTGCTGTGCTTTTTAACCCGCTGCGCCACCAAGGAGGGCCTTAGCTTCATTTTTTAGAAGTATACGTGAAATATATGCTGTCTCCTCTTTGTCTAGCACACCATTTAGAACTACAACAGTGCAGCATTGATGTTTGATATCGTGACTCACAGACTAAACCACCAAGAATAATGACATACCATTCTTACCTTACACTGACCTCACATTTACACCTATTACACATCTTTTATCTCTATGCTTTATGTTACATATTTTAAGATGATAATTAGAATAGTGTTATTGATAAAAATATTTCTTTTTAAAAAATTTTTAAGATTGGTTTATGTATAGAAGAACTGGGGCACATGTAGACCACGGTGGTGAGGGGTTGAGAGTAGTGAGAGGATTCACCAGAGTAAGGAGTGTATCTACTGAAATACACTGCTGAGGGGAGCAGCAGGCAATACAGGAGAGGTCTGCTGCACCATATGTCCATTAGCTCCCTGGCTGGAATGGCACTTAGACCACCACGGTGGTAGCTACCTAGTGCTGAGACTTAACCCCTACACCACTAGGGAGGCCAAAAAATTATTTCTAATGTACGTAAACAGCAGATGGTCCAACCTTTAAAAATGCATTAACCTTGGCACCACCTTTACATTTTTTCTACATACATGTAATTCCATATCTATCTAATGTTACCAATCATCTCTCCTTAAGCTTATAGGTTTTCCTCTAAGATCTGTTTGCTGTTATCAAAAAATTAATGGAGGTGACTGTACTTCTGGTTGCAAGTGTTTCTTTTAACAAAAATGTAAAATAAAATTAATTTTTTAATTCAGCTTAAAACAGTGACAACAGTCTCCAGAAAATTATCTTAACCTTTTTCTCTATACTTTTGAAACTCATTGTGAGAACACTAGTTTTAAGTATTAAAGGTTTATTGCTTATTGATCAGTTATTATCTGTTGGCAGCTATCAACTGTATTTTGAGTTTTATCATAGTGATCATCTTGTAGTTTTTGTGTATTCTCTGTTTTTTTGAACATGGTAGAAATTTATTTTTTTCATTAAGAGTACTCTAATGTCTATTCCTTATGCAAGTGATAAGTTAAAAGTAGTCTTGTCTTTCACTTTATACTTTCCAATTGAAAAATTACACCTGATTTTAATAGACAATATGTAAAAGCAACTCACAAAGTACTATAAAGACAGAAGATGCATGGGGAATTGTAAGATGAGTAAGTGGAAAGCAGACCTTGAAAAGTTTGTGAAATCAGGTTTTCTTTTTTGATGGAAAGAAATTTGCTTTACTAGATTGCAGGAGAAAAATGAATTCATAAAGGCAGAATAGCTTAAGCATTCTGTTGGTTCTGTTGGTTTACTGGAGTTTAGATCTATAATCCAGTTAGCAACTCTGGAGGTTATTAACTGAGAGCAAAAATGAGTAACTCCCTAACATTTCATGGTAGTTGCTTTTTTACAAAGACAGTTGTAATCAGACTAATATCTTAAACTAATCATAAATTAGTTAAAATGTAATTCTGCATTAATCAGAATCCTAGTTTTGTGTTTAACAAGAAGTAACTTTGTATTTATTCTTTAGCTATGACATGTAATGTTTGTGAAAGTGAATTTAGGCAATAATTATAGTATTATCTTGATATGATGATAGGACCAAGCTTCTGAATAATTTGGTCCATTGGTTTCTATTGAAGTTGGTTTGGCAACTTTTAGTTGGCTTTACTTATGTTTTGAATTATTTTTTTTTAATTAGTGTTTAAAAGCATTCAAATATAGATAATATAAAAAGTAGAAGTCACATTAATGTGAACTTTGTCCTTTAATTTTGTGAAAAAATCAGCTGATTGTCTTTTTTAGTTGATATTAAAAATTATATTTGAACAAAAGACTTATTTATTTAACTTCACTATTGATATTTTGGCTATTAGTGTTCATTAAACTATTAATTTCAAGGTATGCTGCAGGGTTTATGTATTATTAATTGTGCTTTCTAAATTTTTTTTTTAATTTCTGTGTTTAGGCAAAGTGAAATATATGTGCACTTATCTCTCTTTTACTTTAAGATACATTCATATTTTTATAGCTCCCTGTAAGAATTAAGTAAGAAAATAGGTTAAGGGCCCTCCCTGGTGGCGCAGCAGGTTAAAGCACAGCGCAAAGAAGCTTAAGCCACTTCTGCACGAGTTCGATCCCCATCTGCCCCCGAGGAGATCCACATGGTGAGGCAGACCTCTCCTGACCCGCCCACTGCTCCCCTCAGCAGTGTACTTCGTTGACCTGCCTGTTCTGTGCCCCATTATGTCTCTGGTGAATCCTCTCACCCTCCGCATCTCTGGCCTGTACCCCAGTTGTGTACAAATAAATAAATAAATCTTTAAAAAAAGAAAGAAAGAAAGAAAATAGGTTAATAATTAATTAATTAAAATCACTATAAGGCTTATTCATTGAGAGCTCTGATTGATTAAACATGGATACTTGGCATTTCTTGTGCTACTTTGACTAAGATCCTTGATGCAAACTCCTGGAAGTACCTGATTTGCTTTTTAATTTTAAAAATTTATTGTGCTTTCAAATAAAACTATCTTTAAATTCTGGCTCACTTTAACTAAAAGATTTAAGGAAAAAAAAAACCTCAGAATAGTTTCAGCACATTTTGCCTGTATGCAAATTGACCAAGTTTGTAACAAGGAATTTGAATGTATTTAATGGACGCCAACCAATTTTAACCTTAGCTGGGTGGAGTTCATAAGTAATTTCATTTGAAAGATGTTGAAATTGTTATTTTGTCTGCTTGTTCTTAGAGAAATTTTATTGCCAAATTGCTTATGGCAAACAGTCCTGTCACTACACAAATGCTAGTGATTAATGGAAATATTGGAGTGTAAAAATATACGTCCTAACTCCCCAAAATAAACTCACTTTAATCTTTTTTTGTTCAGGCCAAGACTGAAATTTATTACTTTTAAGTGAACAGTGTATGTTTACTTACCCTTATTTTTCTTGTTTGGCCAAACTAGAAGTCCAATAGTTTGTTTTTCGACTCAGTATTTATTGCACTGTGTGTTTAAAGTGACAATAAAGTTTTTCAAATTTTGGAAAGATGTGTTATTTGAACTGTTTGCTTTTTTTTTTTTAAGCAGCTTTCTTTTATAAGATTTATTTATATATTCAAGAACTGGGATACAGGCCAAAGGTGTGGAGTTGAGAGGATTCACCAGAGACAGAGTAGGGAGCAGAACAGGCAGATCTACTGAACAACATCCTGAGGAGAGCAGTGGGCATGACAGGAGAGGTCTGCTGCTCCATGTGGGTCACCTCCCTGGTTGGGGATCAAACTCGTGCTGCAGTGTTGGCATGTAGCTTAACAGTGCTGCACTTTAACTCCTTGAGCCACCAGGGAAGCCTCTAAAACACCCTTTGATATGCCGGAATCAAATAGTCTTGGAGGAAGAATTTGAATAGAATTTTCATCCTTAAATTTGGCTATTTAATTTATGTTTTTAAGTTTGTCCATTACTGTACCTACATTTGAACTCAGGTGGGCTTAAATTTGATGTCTAAAGACAGTGAATAAAGCCATCTGGTTAATTTTTGTTTACTCTTTCACCCTTAAAATTATGTTATATCACTTATTTGGCCTTAGCAGTCTCAGGCCTTTCTTTATCAGAACTCCCATTGTTTCAGATTTCACATTAAATATGTTTATTGATTTAATTTTTTTTAAGATGGTAGCTAGAACATTTTAGAGAGGCTTTTAGCTAATTTTTCTAGCAACATTTTGCCCTAAGATTAGAAAAGTTTTAAAATATTCTATGTCTAGAACAAGTCCATGTATGTAAATAAAAGTATTTGACTTGGTAATTTATCTTGCCATCTCATCTATCAAACCAATCCCTCTTTAATATAAAGACTGATAAGCATATAGAGGCCCAATAAAATAACACACACAAAGCAGAGTTAGTGGTTTTACTGTTTTCTACAGTTTATATTGCCTAAGAGCAGCAAGACAATTAGTGCTTGAATGCCCAGTCATACTATGTCTGCGAGTATGTTTTTTATTTGTAAACTAACTTGTATAATGTACATTTGTATTTTTAGTTTGTATTCTTTACAAATTCATCTTTAAAATGTATTTATAGTTAAAATTATATATGTATTTGGGCAAAGGAACTTTTAAAATTTTGAAATTTAACATAAGGTTTTATTTATACTCATCGTCAAGTAATTTTAGGTGATGCTAAAACTTTTTAAGAGCCTGACATGTTTTTAAGTAAACAATTCATTTTCCCCCTTGTTTTTAGTGGGAGATTTTGATAAGATCTGGCGCGAACATTGTGAGGATGAGGAAACACTTTGTGAATATGCTGTTGCAATGAAAAATTTGGCAGATAATCATTGGGCGAAAACTTGTGAGGGCGAAGGTCGCATTGAATGGTGTTGTAGGTAAGTTAATTTATGAACTGACATTTTTAGCTTCTGCTGTACTGTTTATGTTCTTAAAAACATAAGTGATGCTGTCTATAATGCATTGTAGAAAACCAGAAATATTTTAAAACAGATGATGTGTTTTATTTTTTTTATTGAATTTTATTTACCCTATCATCCCTGTATCCCCTTTTCCCTTTGCTTCCCCTTTCCATCTTAACCTCAGATCTCCAAAGGATGCTTTTTGATGCCCTGTGGCTTTTGAAAATATTTTAGTTATTGAATTGTTTGCTATGTAAGTAGTCCAGTTTTTGTTTTTATTATTCTCATTTACTTTGCAACTCATCATGTTTTCAGATTCCCTCTATTTTGTTGAAAATCTGTATTTTATCCTTGTGGTAAAGCAACGTTATACTACATGGTATGTATGTACCATATCCTCTTAATCCATTAATCTGTGGATTGACATTTAGGGTGCTTCCATGTCCTGGTTTTTGTAAATAATGTTGCTATGAACCCTGTAAAACATGGATTTTATGTTGATGTTTCATATTCTCTGGATATATGCCCAAAAGTGGGATTGATAGGTTATATGGTATTTACATTTTTAGAGTTTTGTAGAAACCTTTAAAAGTGAATGATGTATTCTAAATAACTCCCCCTTGCCTCATTTTCCCTAGATCTTTTTATTCTTGTATCAATTAAAATGTTTTTCTTTGATATAACTTAAAATTTTATTTCAAAATTTGCTCCTCCCTGGTGGCGCAACAGGTTAGGCCACAATAAAATTTTACATTAACTTTTAAAAATGGTATCTTTAAGTACATTTAATATATTTAAACATCAATTTAAAGTATGAGATTTAACTTTTGATTTTTCATCGAATTACTGAATTGAATGAAATTATAGAAATCTATACAACAATGAATTATTGTATAGAAATTTCTTTAGGTGTGATTATCTGTATTGGGATTTAGATAAAGGTGAATACTTTTCTATACTTCAAAATTTAAAAACATAAGGCCCTCCCTGGTAGTGCAGTGAGTTAAAGCACAGCATTGCAAGCTGGCCGCAGCCACTTCAGTGTGTGTTGGATCCCAGCTCCTGAGGTGATGTACATGGCGCAGTACACCTCTCCTGACTTGCTCACTGCTCCCCTCAGCAGTGTCGCTGGTGAATCCTCTCACCTCTCCTGTACCTCTGACCTGTACCCCCTATGTATGCATAAATAAAGAAATATAAAAAAAAAATTTTTTTAAACAACATTTTAAAAGTTTTAAAATCCCAAGTTTGTGATATTTGATTCAAGGTATTCCAGCAATTATATATACATTTGATAATGCTTGCTTTCTTATACTATAGATCTAATATTAAAAAGTCAGAAAATGTAATACTGCTGATCATCTCTTAAACTCAAGAATGCATATATGTTTTTGCTGGATTTAAAAATCAGTACCCGGGGAGTAAATCATTATCTCTCTGTATGAGCAGTAAGTTTATGGTAGCTTCCATTTATAATTTTATTTAAATGTTTATTGAAAATTTCTGTTTTAATTTCATTAAAATTATATATATTAATGCATATTTTATTTAGTCACCTAATCAGAGAAAAACACATATTTGACTTAGTTATTTTGTCAATTTAATAAATAATTTTTTTCTAAAGATTTATTTATTCATACAGAACTAGGGTACAGGCCAGAGATGCGGAGGGTGAGAGGATTCACCAGGGACAGAGTGGGGAGCAGAACAGGCAGATGGACGAGGTACACTGCTGAGGGGAGCAGCGGGTGGGTCAGGAGAGGTCTGCCACGCCATGTGGAGCTCCTCCGTGGCAGGCGGGGATCGAACTCATGTGGAAGTGGCTTAAGCTTCTTAGTGTAGTGCTTTAACCCGCTGCGCCACCAGGGAGGGCCCCTTAATAAATAATTTTAATGACTGTCTACCATGTACCAGTCACATCCTAGACAATAGGAATATCAACTAAACAGACAAAATCCTTGCTGTCATGGAGTCTGCATGCAGAAAGGTAGGAGAGGGGAGGTTATAGGCAAGAAATTATGTGTAAATAGTTATTAAGTCAGATAATGGTGAGTGCTATGAGAAAATAAAGCAATCATAAGTAGGCTAGACGGAGGAAGCATCATTGAAGTGACGTATGTAGAAGGCACGAAGGAAGTGAGAGAGCATGCTCTAACAAGTCCAAATACCTTGAGGCAGGAGTGTACTAGCATGTTTGAGAAACAGCAAGATCATTGTTGGTAGAGCAATATGAGAGGTAGAAAATACGATAATAACCAGCTGGATTTGCAGAATTATGTGTGTCTTTGTAAAGACAGTGACTTCTACTACTTGTGAGATATATCTGGATGTTTTAAGGAGTAACAAGATTTTACTAACCTTTTTTTAATAAGTGTTTGGAATTCTTAAGGATTATTCTCTTAAGATAAAGTATAGGAAGGACAAGGGTTTAAGTAAGAAAAGATGTGGCATATATATGTATGATGGAATATTGCTCAGCTATAACAAAAAAAAGATGAAATATTGGTATTTGCAACAAATTACGTGGCACTGAGGGAATTATATTAATTGAAATAATTCGCAGAAAAAGAAGACCAGATGATTTCACTCGTGGAAGAGAGAGAAGCAAAACAAAGAAACTGACAAAAGTAAACCAAAACAAGCCTTAGAATTATGAATAAAGAATTGAGGCTACTAAATGGGGAAAAGGGGGGGGTGGGAAGCTATGAGGAAACCCCTGCAATCTGTGATAAAGAGGTAAGAGTGTCAGATCCATATCACTACACCCACCAGCAAATAGGTGAGAACATATTCCCCTAATTCTCACACCATGTTGTAAACCAATGTTATCTCAGTAATAAATTTTTTTAATAAGAATTAAAATTTAAAAAGCAGTGTGCACACACATAACAAAGCCAGTTAGGCTGCGACAGTAATTAAGGCACAGAGTTATTTATAATGAAAAAAAATTTTGTTTTTGAATAGAGAGGAAATGAATAGACAGGTTTGTGCATTTTAAAGAAAGAGGAAAGGAAGGGAACAGTGTTCTTACATTATGATAATTGTAATGACATGTAAGAAAGGAGTTGAAATATTTTTCATATTTTCAGTGTGAGGATCAGTGAATAGGTGGTACCATTGTGGAGTCACAGACTTGTGGAGTTGTGGAACTAAAGTCAGGAGCTAGAATGATACAAAATGGAGTTCTTAGAATTAAAGTGTGTGACTCTTGCTTAGTTATAGAGAGAAAGTGGTTATAAACCTACCCTATAATAAACATCTCTTTCTACAAGCTAAGGAAAAAAAATGAGTTATACTATGAAACCAAATATTTCCCTTTTAACATAACAATAGTATAATCCAGTTAGGAAACCACAACACCAAGTTTTAAGACCAATTTGGTTTTAGCAGCATAACTTTTAAGTTAGTATTCCAGTGTATCATGCATGCTCCCAAGTCTGCTTCTTAAATGGACTTTGATACGTGGTATTCTCATGGAAAAATCTACAGGTAAGTGCTACTTGAATAATGAATCAGCATCATACTTTTCTTTCTTTTCTTGGGTTTTTATTTTTGTCAGTAGTTATTACATCTATATGTGTTATTTTTAAAAGAAAAAAAATTATTTATGCATACAGAGCTGGGGTATAGGCCAGAGGTGCTGCAAGGACTGTAAGATGGTTCACCAGAGACAGAGTGAGGAGCAGAACCAGGCAGATCAACAAAGTACAGTGCTGAGGGGGAGGGAGAAGAGAGGTCTGCTGTGCCATGTGGGTCCCCTCCCTGGCCAGGAACCAAACTTGTGCTGAAGTGGCTGCAGCTAGCTTCACTGTGCTGCGCTTAAACCAGCTACGCCACCAGGAAGGGCCCCTATATGTGTTCATTTTTAGGTTAAACTGCTGAAAAAGAACAGTGGCAAAATATGGTAAAAAGATTTTTTTCCATGGGATGTAATCCCAAGAGCTTTAAAATACCTTTACTTAAAAAACTAGACTAGGAAAAAGTGCTTCTAGCCAATACTGAATTTTGAAACTTGAGTTTCCTGTAATTTCTATTTAGGTTATATGTGATTCCTTTCTCTGTTGACTATTTTAAGAGTGAACATGCCACTTTTCAAACTAAAGTGAGCTTTAAAAAGGATTTGAGAAAAGTTTTATTTCCAGCTAGTCTTACTTAAAACTTTATAGTACGAGAGATGTCTTCTGTTAATTTTGTTCACTGTTTAGCTCAATTCTACACGATTTTCTTTAAAAATTTCCTTTAAAATTTATAACATGAAGTTTTAATTAGAAACAAAACACTATATAAAGGTGAAGTTGTAATCTAATAAAAAATTTTCTTCGAACAGAAAAGCACACAGTTTTCTGAACCATTTGAAAGTGAATCATGCATCTCGTAACAAAAAGGACATTCTGCTTAACAGTAATGCCTTTATATCACTTTGAGATAATTAGCAGTAATTCCCTAAAATTCCTACTTTATGAATTCAGATTTTCTCATTGACCGCAAATGTACTCTATGTATTTTTTTCTAAATCTAGTCAACTGTTATGCATTGCATGTAATGATTATAATTTCTTTTAAGTTTTCATTTGTTTCCATGGTGTTTCCCACATGCTCTCTCTTCCACCAACATTCATAGTGCGGCATATTTGTTAAAATTTATGAATCCACATTAACAACTCTTTGTAATCTAAAGTTCAGAGTTTATATTAGGTATCTCATCTCTTTTGGAGTTTTATATTCTATGTGTTTTGGCAAATGTGTAATGACAAATATTCACCATTAATAGTGTCACACAAAAGAGCTTTACTGCCCTAGAAAATCTCCTTTGTTTTATCTATTCATCTCTTCCCCTTACAGCAATAAGTCAATTCCATTGTTCTGCCTTTTCTAGAATTTCCTATAATTAGAATCACATTATGTAACCTTTTCATTGATGTCTTGCACTTAAGAATACATATTTATGTTTTCTTCATGTCTTTTCATGGCTGAATTGTTTACTTCTTTTTACCAGCAAGTAGTTGTCCATTATCTGGATGTACCACAGTTTATTCACCTGTGGAAGGGCATCTTGGTTGCTTCCAAGTTTGGGCAATTGTGATTATAACTGCAGTTTTTTTGTAGATGTACATTTTTAACTCTCTTGGGTAAATTCCAGGGAATATGATTGCTGGATCCCTTATGGTAGAAGGATGTTTGGTTTTGTAAGAAACTTCCAAAGTATTTTGTTTTGCATTCCTATCAGCAATGAGAGATCTTGCTGCTCCACATCTTTACACAACATCTGGTGTGGTTAGTGTTCTGGATTTTGGCCATTCTAATAGTGTATGGTAGTATCTTATTTGCTGTTTTAACTTGCATTTCCCTAATGACATATGATGAGGAGCATTTTCCATATCCTTATTTATTATCTATATATCTCTTTGGTGAGGTGTATGTTTTGTCTTTCATCCACTTTTTAGTTGGTTTGTTTCTTATTAAATTTTAAGAGTTCTTTGTATATTTTGTTTAACCTTAACCAGTCTTTTATTAAACATGTCTTGCAAATATATTTCCAGACTATGACTTGTCTTCTCATTCTCTTGCATTGTCTTTTATACAACAGTATTTAATATTAATAAAGTCTGACTTTTCAGTTTGTCTTTCATGGATTGTGACTTGGTATTGTATTTAAAAATTGATTGCCAAACACAAGGTCATCTACTTTTTCTTCTAGAAATTTTTTAAAAGTTTCCAAGAGTTTCATATTTTACATTTAGTTTAATAATCTATTTTGAGTTAATTTTACAAAGCATATGATGTTTCTGTATTCAGTTTTTGCATATGAATGGTTATCCATTTGTTCAGTACTATTAACTGAAAACAAAATTTTCACTCCATTGTATTACCTTTGCTCCCTTCTCAACTATTAGTTGACTGTATTGATGTACGTCTTTTTTGTTGTTGTTGTGTTGTTTCATTGATCTGTTTGTTCTTTTGCTATTACCATAGTGTCTTTATTACTATAAGTTTATGGTGAGTTTTGAAGTCAGATAGTGTCATTTTCCACCTTTTTTGTTCTTCCACATTAGCTAGTCTGGGATATTTTCTCCATATAAACTTAAGAATTAGTTTGTTAGTATCCACACACTATATATTCTGTGAATTTTGTGTGGATTTTTTATTTGCCTTTTAAGGGTTTATTTTTATTTATGTATATAAATAAATATATGTATATAAATACATATTTATAAATATATATAAATATTTATGTATATAAGAACTGGAGTCTAGGCTAAAGGTCTGGAGGTAGGAGGTGGGGGGGGGGTTGCTAAGAGGACTCACCAGAGACAGAATGAGGAGCAGAACAGGCAGATCTCCTGAAATACATTGCTGAGGGGAGCAGCGGAGGTCTGCGCCACCATGTGGGTCAGCTCCCTGGCTGGTGATCTAACTCTTGCTGGAGTGGATGGCAATAGCTTTATAGTGGTGAGACTTTTTAATCCCTGCACTACTAGGAAGGCCCTATATGCTGTGATTTTGATTGGAATTATATTGACTATATATTAAGTTGAGAAGAACTGACATTGACTATACTGAATCTTGGTATCTATATTCATGGAATATATCTCCATTTTTTTAGTTCTTTATTGTCTTTATTTAAATTTTTAATTGTTCTTTCATATCTGCAGTTGCTTACTTGAATATATGTAGTTAATATTATTACAATTTTCTTCACTTTTGGGGTGTCTTGTTTTCTGTGTCTTGGAGAATTTTCACTCTCTGTAAAGTTTATTTTGGTAGTCTTTCTCTTCTTGTCTAGTAGAAACTTGTATGGTCACTGAGTTCACTGGGCAAAGCTGTATTTTGTCTATTATGTTGGAGTGTCTCTAGATGTATAGGTAATTTTTTCCTTAATTACAAAGTTCTTTGCTAAGACAAAAGTGGAGTTCCTTTGTCCACTTTTGATCTATTTTTAATATGTACAGAATGTGACATCTTACTCTTAGTTACTTACATTCTTAAGATTCTTTCCTTCTCCAAAAGCATTATCTTCTCAAGACTCACAGCTTTCCATACTCACTCCTTTTGATCTTCCAATGGATAGTGCACCAGTTTTCTATGTCCCAGATGTCTTAAGGTTTCTTCACAGAGTTTGACTCTTCCAGCCTTTACTCGGGCTATTCTCTGCCAGGAAAGTACTCTCCTCCGTAAATAACCTCTTCCTTGCCTGATTATTCCTACTTATATTTCTAAAAATCAGTTTATATTATCTATTTAGACTAAGGTGTTTGTTAATTGTGTTTTACCAATTGTTTTTTCTTTATTTTTATGTAATATTTGGTTTCCCTCACTAGCCAGGACTCCTTGAGGACTGTTGTACCTTTTTTATTTGATTTCCTATCATCTATGTGCCTGGCACATGATCTTGTATGTAATTAGAAATAAAACTAAATTTATACAGGGAACTAAAGTTTTAAATAATAGATGCTTAAAATAACTGAAGTTGAATTAATAGCATCCTCTAAGTATGAGTATAAATGAGTGTTGTTACCTTAGACCATAGCTCTACTTCAGAAAGCACTTTTAAATAAAATCAATTCTTATCTTGCCATGTATTTTTGAAAATTCATCAAACAGTGTTTGGAGAAAAATAACCTGGTTTTGTTTAAATTGTGAGATATAAGTAACAATAATGTGATTTACTTTAAAGATCTAAAAAGATAGAAAATGTGTTTAGATTCCAATCTCATTCATGTAAACCAACTTGGATGCATATATCAGCTGTTGTTTTCAAGTATGTATCTCCATTCATGTCGTTTAAGCCCAACGTCCAGAGATAGGTCTCACTAGTCTTTTTTCCTTTACATTGCTTGGCTTTAATAACTAGTAAATGTATGCATTAATTTTTTGGTTAATGTTGCCTTTTACATACTCAGGCACTGTTTCCTATTGTATTTATGTTAAAATTACATTAGGCATGAAGAAAATTATTTCTAAGGTTTTGCCCCTTGTCACTTTCTGATTCTGAACAGCCACCTGCTATATGGACTAAACTGTATGAGCTTATAATGACACATTTTGAATATCTGCATTTTAATAGTACAAAATTGGGACACTCAGGAATGGTATCTTGATGGACAGGAATTATTTTCCTGTGTTGTAAAAAATCCCAGTTAAGTTCAACCTTCATTTTCTCTGATGTATCCCTTTATGATGTACCATTTTTATCTGAACTAGATTTGTATGCCCTTTTCTCAGTGCAAATGAGAAGATAAATGATTCTTAGTATGTTGACAACCTGATTTGGTTTTCATGAGCCAGGAGAGATCTTAGAAGCAACTGGTTAAGATATTTGTCTATTGTCAACAAAGTTATTAACAATTAACTATCACCACTATTCTATTTGCCTGCAAGTAGCAGTTATCTAAGCTTTTCTGAAGGAACTTATGTTTTAGTGCAAAATAAACAGCAAAACATATAGGAACATATGAACTCTTGAAAAACATACTTTTATTTATTTTGTTAAGTATAATCTACCATCGATATTTATTGTATGTTAATTTAAGAAATTTGAAAATATTGCAGGTTACCTGACCTTGCCTTTATGTGACCTTTTCGCAATAGTAATCTGTAGTTTCCATTTTGATTAAGAAAGGTTAATGTTTTCCCATTTTTATGTTCATACCTAGTGTTTGAAATGTAACTTTATTTTGACTTGTAGTGTATGTAGAGAATATTTCCAAAATGGTGGGAAGAAAAAAGCACTTGAAAAAGATGAAAAAAGAGCTGTACTCGCCACTAAGACCACTCCAGCCTTAAATACGCATGAGTCTTCTAAACTTGAAGGTCATTTAACCAACCTCAGCTTTACAAACCCTGAATTTATAACTGAGTAAGTATCTTTTTTCTACTTTGATCATTAATATTATCCTTGGATAGCTGTGTAAATAATTAAAATAATGTAATAGTTTACACCAAGTAGGGGGTAGTTTGGTTATTCTTCTGATAATATATCAGCCTAATAAATACAGATTTGTAAATTTTAAGGGATATCTGAAAAACTAGTAATTCTGTAACAAATTATCCTCACTGAAAATGAGAATAGTTTATTGACTGTCATTATAGTTATTTCATAGTAGTGAAAAAAATCAAACAGCAAAATCCAGTTGAACTATGTTTAAGGTGGCTATTCATATCCACAATAAATTTGATTAAACCACTAGCATGTTTTATAAATATCTCCTTTGAAAACTGAGGGGCAAATGAGTTAAAGCTGTTAGGACCTGTATTTACAATGACATAGTTGAAGCAAAAGAGTCAGTAGTGATGATAGCAAAGTTGGAGATGGGAGGATAGGTACGTATAACAATATTTATATAGTCTACTTATAGGAAATTCTTTGAGCTAGTCCAGGGCACCATAAAGACAATATTCTGAGTGGAAACACTCCGGGAAATTAAGGTTTCACATTCATAAGGTACTTGTGGCTCCTGTTTTATGGAGCAGTAAAAGCTTACCACAATCTAGAAGTAGTTTTTACTATAAGAAGGATGATTATGTTACTAGACTATGTCTTAAAACATTACACATGTGGCTTCTGTACTAAATGTAGCTCAAGTGAGTCTGCAGCAGTTTCTAAGAAGCCAACGGAGGCATGCCAAAGTGCAGGAAAGTAATTGTGGATTTCTCCTACTGCGAGCCTTTGTAATTACTCACAGACTGCATTACATTGTATATCACCTTCTCTTCAAATCTGTTCCAGTCACTAGCTTCTCTTTTGTGAACTAATCCTGCCTCAACTTTAAAATGGTTTCAGTGATCAAGGACAGAGCTCATTGTGACCTTATCTATGTTTTTGTGTTTACTGACTTTTTCTTGAAAACTTGTTTACTTCTGAGAAAGAGTTATTCTTTTCTCTGTTGAGTCATGGAAAAAAAAATACTGTGCCTTTTGTTCAGAATGTGGTATTTTTTTCAGTGCTCTTTATTTATAATGGGCCGCAAATTTCTTCTACTACTCAGGCTTGGTAATATAGTTATTAAATTAAGCTACTCTTTAATAGATGAGATGCTTTTGAAGAAAAAATTTGCCCTTACCTAGCTTTGCAGTTCAAAACAGCTTTATTAAAATGAGCTTTTGCTTTTTGCTGTTTATTTTTTTCTTGTATTTTAATAGGATAATTAAAATATTAGACTGTAAGCCCTTTTCCTTTTATAAAAAAAAAATAAGCACTTACCCACCTATCAGTTTTCATACCACAAACTAAAAACTGTAGTGATTTGTGCATTCTGGTTCATTGTCAATATTTCTCTCAGCTGCTTTTTTAAAAAGTCTTTTTATGAATTTATAAATCATTTTCTTGGTATAATTTAGAGATGTTTTCTCCACTGTAGTAGAATAACCTCTCTCCCCACCCCAGGGCGGTGGCATTATTAGATTCTTGTACTTTGCCCTAATGAAGACTCTCATCTTAGAATAGCAGCCTCTTAGCTGTCCTCTGGTATATTCAAAGTTTTTGTTCTTAATTCTGGTTAAGACATTTTCCTTGTAAACTTGTGATTCTATGCTATTTCCAAAAGTGCATAGAAACACTGTTATGCAGTATGTTTTTGATAATTCCACTGAATTTATCACATTGATTGCAAACTAAAAACTTTAAATATAGAATGCCCTTTTTGTTTTGAATAGTTGATTCAGAGTTGAACACTATTTAGCTTGCTACTGATGTTTCTTAAACTGTGGCAACTCAAGGCAAATATCACTCTTGCTGTAAAAATCTATTTATAATCCTAACTGGATAGGTTTTTGTTATTTAAATGAAGCCGGTACCATGTGTACTTTCACAGAAAATTTCCAGTGTAGTTTTTTGAAAACTAAACTTACTAGTCATGTTTAATCAGATGATCCACATTGGGATTTCTTTTTGGAGGAAAAAAAAAGCCAACTCAATAACCAAGTTACTTATTTTTGGTTTCAAAAGCATCTGTGTTTTTGATGAGTACTGAACAATAGTGTGTAATTTTCTGTGGTAGACTGACTTTGTTCCCAAGCATTGTAATGTGGAATGGATGTTTAAAACAATATGTTGTTTTTTTTTTAACCCTTTTAGAATTGAACTGTATATCCTTTAATTAATTTTTCCCTGTACCATGATAAATGTTTGCCAGCATTGTACATTCAGTACTGTGTTGGTCCATATGTAGCACTAGATGCTTGTTTTTAGCTTATTTCTTAACACTTTGCAGCCTGCTCTGAGCATTTAGTCCTTGTGGGGTTTATCTTACATACTGTGTGCCTGTAAGTTTTATTAGCAATAGGATAGAAAATTGAGCAAGTGTATAGCATAATTCTGTAGAAAAAATAATCTGCTCCGTGCTAGTATTTTCATCTTTGAGAAACTTATTATACAGGCATTTTCAAGGACTAAATAAAAAGGAAATGTAAACCATTGTAAAAATTTTCTGCCAAATGTGGCTGTTGCATGCATAATCATCCTTGATTTCAGAATACTTCATAAAGATGAAATTAAATTCTGTTATAGTATATGTAAAAAATAAAGTGACTATCCACTAAGTCACAAATAAGAGATAATTAAGATTAATAATACCAGTTGCCATTTTACTGTGACTAGGAAAAGCTTCCCGGTAGTAGCATATATATATATATCTATTTAGGCACAAACCTTATTTAAACATGATTATTTTTCCACTTTTATTCAACATAATGATTTGGTATGTGTGTGTCTTGGAAAAGAGTACCACAATAAGTTTAGTTAATATCAAGTGCAATTTTTTCTATTTTGAGGTTTCATTTTAAATCTTTATATACTATAAATCTTAATTACTGTACCCTTAATTTTACTACTTTTGTCTTTTAGTTTTTAAGCGATCTTTATAAGTATTGATCTGCTTTCACTGTATAATTGCCTTTTCCTGTTGAATTTTTTGCCTTAATGTGTTATAGGATTAGTTCCTTAATGTGTTGTAGGATTAGTGCCTTTCTTTTCAGTTTAAAGAAGTTCCTTTAACATTTCATCCAAGGCCAGTTTAATGGTGATAAACTCTTCTTTAACTTCCACTTAATCAGAGGAACTTTTAGTTTCTTGCTGGGGGAAGAATTGTTGATTGGAAGTTTGTCTCTTCAGCATTTTGTGTATATCATGATATTCTCCTTTGAAGTCTAAAGTTTCTGTTGAAAAACATGCTGCATTCCTCTGGCTGCTTTTAAGATTCTCTCTTTAACTTTTGCCTCTTTAACAATAATGTGTCTTCATGTAAGTCTTTTTTAGGTTCTTTTTATTTGATCCTCAAATATATACCTGCATGTCTGTTTCCTTTCCCAGATTAGGAAAATTTTCATCCATTATTTCTTCAGTTTTTCCTGTCCATTCTACTTTTTCTTAATGAGACCTCTATAGTGTGGATATTCTTCCTTTTTATCAGAGGTGTCCCAGATATTCCTTAAGGTGTTTTTACTTTTTAAAAATGTTTTTTCTCATATTGCTATTCTGCCTGGGTCTAGATTCCAGGTATCAGACAAACTGTACATAGAGAGGTACAGTTTCAGTGGGAGGGGCTGAGTAGGTAGGCTTTCATGGGTTTGCTTACACTCTTTATTGGTTGGGGAGGATTGGAAGTTAGAGTTCTATGATGGGGACCAGTTAGCATGGTTTCATGAGGTTGCAGAATGATACCTGTTAGTGTATCTGACATGGAGATCATCCCAAAACTTCCTATCTCTCAAGCAGATACTGTAAGAGTATTAAATATGTTTCCTTCACTCATGAATTGAGCATTTATCAGACTGGTGTTATTTATCAGAACTTTTAAGGGCAAGTTCTTTGTTTTCTATAGGTCTTAGATCCCCCATGGTGTTATTTTTCCACTTCAGTACTGGGACTCTAAGGACATGACTCTTCTGTGTAGAATTAAAAGGTTAAGTAATTTATGGTAGGGCACCACCCTCCTCTACTCCCCAGGGGAATGTTCCATACCTTTGAAATCTCTCCCAACCTGAATCTCCATGTATAGGGTGAATTATCTCTTTTCTAACAACTCAGTGTTGTCCTTTTATGTTTGGTTATGGGATCTCTATTTGTCTGTTTTTTAGTACTCCTGCCTTATAAATTATTACATATCTAGTTATAAGTTTGTTGTGTTGTTCATGGGAGAATGTGAATAAGGTTCCTCCTATACTACCATTTAAGCCAATTCATCTAGCTCTTGTTTAAAGTAGGAAATTTATTTATGTATTTATTTATTTATTTATGTTTAAAAGATTTATTTATTTATTCATACAGAACTGGGGTACAGGCCAGAGATGTGGAGGGTGAGAGGATTCACCAGGGACAGAGTGGGGAGCAGAACAGGCAGATCGACGAAATACATTGCTGAGAGGAGCAGCTGGCGGGTCAGGAAAGGTCTGCCACGCCATGTGGATCTCCTCCCTGGCAGGCGGGGATCAAACTCATGTGGAAGTGGCTTAGCTTCTTAGTACTGTGCTTTAACCCGCTGTGCCACCAGGGAGGGCCTGGTTTTAAGTATTTAGAGGAAACCATCCAGTTATGACTGTTACAGGTCAGAATTTACTTAGCCTTAAGATTACTTAGCCCAGGATGCTAGATTTAGCTTTTCACTAAATTCTTTTCACAAAGCATTCAATAAAACCATTACCAATTAGGCAGTCAGTCATTATGAGAGCAAAAACTCATTTGTCATTTACTTCTGTTATTCTGGCTATAAATAGTTCCAAAATTTTGAGTTTGTGTTTCTCAGCAACTCAGGCAGGACTGAGAGAGAGATAATTTCTTCATTTGCTTTTATTGAGAAGTGACTATGAAATTTGCTTACTTTTAAGTATTGGGATGTTCAGCTTATCAAGTTGTAAGTACTT